CAAGGCGCAGGGAGCCCGCCTCCTGTCCTGCTCCAGGAACACTGGTCTCGATCCCCGTTAGATCCCTGTTCACTTCCAGGAAAATGGACATTTAAAATACTAAATGATTTTAAAAACTCCGCTCATTTCCTCCGGCTGATTTCCAAGCTTTGTCTTGCCAGTGCCAGGCCCTGCAGGAGGGCAGGATGCTCAGGAAGCAGCGGAGCTGGGAGAGAGGAGAAGTCCCTGGAGCGTGGCTGGAAGGCTGGTGCCCCCGGGACGTGGTGGAGCTGTGCTCGCCGGCGCTGTGCCGTGTCATTGCCGGCTGCATCAGAAGAAAGAACTGGAGCGACCCTGCTCCGTAGGACATGCTTCGATGGGGGCTCTGAGCCCGGGGCTCCCGAAGCCTTGAGCCACGCTGCCCGCCGGCCACCAGCACCCCTTGGCCCTGTGCCACGCCGCGCCACTGCTGGTCACAGCGCTGCATCCACGCCGTGTATTTCTGTCACATAAAGTCTGTCCACGCGTAAATCTCGCTGGCTGGGTGTTTTGTGGGCACGGAACAGCCGCAGTCCGTAGGAGAGCCCCTGGCTGCGGCTTCCCCCTGTGCTGAGCCGGAGGAGGGGACCGCTCCTGGGCTCCCGCTCCATCCCGGCAGGATTTTCACTCACTCTGTTGGCTTCATGCCATGAGGCCATGGGGGCTGCGTTGCTCCCCTCTTTTTATGGGGTTCTCCACCCTGACCCCCACCCCAGGCACCGCTGGCTGATGCTCTGCCCGTCACGCAAAGCTGCGGGAGACAGGAGGAGAACCAGGGCAAGGGGTCCTGGCCCAGGGCACTGCCCCTCACCAGGCAGGTGAGGAGGACAGCAGATGCGGTGTCTCCAAGTAGATATCTCCAGGTAGCCACAGTCCCCTCCATACTCTCTGTTGCCATTCCCTGGGGAGGGATGAGGACAGATGGGGGTGTTGGCCGTTTGGGGAGGGAGCAACAGTCCTGTGATGTCCCACCTTCTGCCCTGCAAGTTTCCATCATTTCTGGTCACCCCAGCTGATTATTTATCCGTGATCAATCAAGTATGTCATGATTCAAATTCCTCAAGAGGGGGTTGTGATGCACTTCCAGGCGATCATAAAACCAGTTACAAGGACGTGTTACAGGAATTTTAAACTAGGGAGATTTAAAGAGTCCCTAATGAAGGGATGCATTAGGAGGATGTTGTAGCAAGGGAACATCTGCAAGTGGAGACTCCCAAGGGAAGAGCCTTCTCCCTCGCTCTCTTTAACCCTTCAGAAGCGAGGTGGTTTTGCCACAATATCATCAGGATTTTAGTTATACAGGGAGGCAGAGGTGGGCCCAACCCACGAAGGCACAGCCGCGTGCCTACCTGGGCTGGTCCCGTGCTGCCCGTGCCCTGCCCAGCCGGCGCGGCACATAGAGACCCCCGTCCTGCTGCCCTGCACCACTCGCAGCACCGTGTAGCGCAGAATCGCGGAGTTCAAGCCAAGAAAAGTTCCCATCCCACGGTTCCTTTTCCCAGCTTTCCCCTTCCCTGCCCCTCCGCGTGGGAAGCCATCGCGCAGTGCTGACGCTGTGCGCAGGTACCAAAATGATCGATGCCCACCCACAGCTTTTAACGTGGCAGCGGTGGGGTCTGCCCCACTGCTGGCTGCACCCTCTGCCGGGACCACCCCCAGGCCCACGGCCCCGGCTGTGCTTCCCTCGCTCAGCCGCCAACGCGACGCTCAAGAACAA